TGGACTGATTCAATATTATTAGAAGAAGATATTCCCGATAATGTATCTATTGAACAAGATAATGAAAATGATGTGAGAATTCTTTATTTAATAATATTTAATTACTATATTTACTCTATTAAATAATAATAAATTAATCTTACAGGCTGATGATAATATAGACGAAATAGCATTATCATTTTTAGAAAACGATACTACTGCTTTATTTGATGTAAGTTAATTTAATAATAATTTTAATTATTTTTATTTTTGATAATAATTTAAAATTTTTTTTTAGGCCGATAGTGATTACATTTATAAGAGTAGTGAAAGTAGCGAAAGCAGTGATGATATCAATGATGATAAGAATAATGATGATGATGATGATGATGGTAATGTGAGTATAAAATCTTTTGTAATGCCTAAAGTAAGTTTTATAAAGTCTAAATGCAAAATGTTATTTATTTATAAACTAATTTACAATATAATGTTTATAATTTTTTTTTAAAGCAACCTAAACCTAGATCAGCAAAATCTGGAGATTATGAATTATTTACTTATAAACCTAAAGTGGATTTGTCATGGGAGGAAATCAAAACGTCATGGGAGAGCTTTTTTGGAACATCTAATGAAATTGATTTTGGCATAACAAAAAAGTTCATAAAAGATGCATTACGTGACATACCAAAATTATGTACAAATAAAACTTACCAATAAATGAATTGAGTGAATGGGAAAGAAAGTTTAATTATTAGTTAACTTTATTTGATTTAAGTGTAGAGGTTTACTATTTATTTATTTTTATAATTTTTATATTAAAATACGATATAATATTAATAATTAATTATATTTATCATTAGGCGGGATCTTTAAAAATTAATAATGAAAATTCAGAGGTATTTTTTTTATAATTCTTATAAACAATTAAAATATCATTTATTTATTAATTAATTATTTTAGGATATACTTGAATCAGACTCAAATAATGAATCGAATAATGAAAGTAATGAAAGTGTTAGTCATGAAATATATAGAAATGAAG